ACAGATGATAAAACATGCACAGTAGTTCATGAGACTTATATACTATAAATAGACTTGTGACCAATATGATTGACTTATGAAGGCAGAGTTCATATCTGCGTATACCTCAGACCAAGTTATGCTTTTCAGGCATTTCTTGAATTTGAAAATTTTTTCGCAACTATAGTCCTTTCTAATTACCGTGTATGTTTTTGATTTTTTTTTTTTGCACAGGGATACATAATGATTGAGCTGTATCGTGGTCGGTAGGTAGTACCGTAGCGTTAGCGTCTATAATGTTACTTAGCATGTGGTCTATGCGTGAGTTTTTGCGTGTTGGTACATTAATATGTATTTTTCTGTTATGATTTAGACATATATTTTTCCCTGTTTCAGCGTATTGATGTTAAAACCACCCGTCAAAATAATTTTTGTATCAGACTTACAGTTGCCAACTCATAATTATAAATATTTAGGTATATCTCACTACCAGATCGCAGAAAAGTTTCAAATAAACATATAAGATCTGGTTTATAATTCGTCTTGTTAAGTTCTTGTAATGTTATTTCTTGTAATTCCTGCTTAGCCAAGACACTCGCAATCATCATTACAGCCCTTCACAAGTCCACTGCTGAACATAGGCCTCCCCCAAGGAATGCCACAAAGCACGGTCCTGAGCCACCTGCATCCATCGACTTCCTGCATGTCTCACCAGGTCGTCACTCCATCTGGTGGGGGGTCGTCCCAAACTTCGCCTACCGGTACGAGGCTGCCACTCGAGAACCTTTCTTCCCCATCGGTTGTCGGTTCTTCGAGCTATATGGCCGGCCCACTGCCACTTCAGCTTACTAATCCGTTGGGCTATGTCGGTTACTCTGGTTCTACTGTGGATATCCTTATTTCTAAGTTTATCACGCAGAGACACCCCGAGCATAGCCCTCTCCATAGCTCGCTGAGCGACCCTGAGCTTCCTCATACGGCCAGCAGTGAAGGACCACGCCTCAGATCCATAAGTCATCACTGGCAACACACACTGGTTGTATTATCTCATTTTCAGGAAGACGTTTTACGAGAAGATGTGTCGTAGTTTCCCGAACGCTGCCCAGCCGAGTTGAATCCGTCGATTGACCTCTCGGTCGAAGTTGGACTTACCTAGTCGGACTATTTGTCCCAGGTAAACATACTCGTCAACAACTTCGAGCTTAGTGCTCCCAACAACTACCGGCATAGGTGTGACATAGACGTTAAACATGATTTTTGTTTTGTCCATGTTCATCTTAAGACCTATCCGTTGGGAGACACTATTGAGGTCATTGAGCATAGTGCTTAGGTCCTCCAGCGATTCTGCCATAAGGATTATATCGTCGGCAAATCGAAGGTGAGTGATGTACTCGCCATTGATGTTAATACCGTATCCTTTCCAGTGCAGTAGCTTGAAAACGTCTTCCAGTGCAGCGGTGAAGAGTTTCGGGTATATAACGTCACCCTGTCTTACACCTAGTTGGATAGGTTTCGTACTCTGATTCTGTACTCGGATAGCCATCGTAGCTCTACTGTACAAACACTTCAGCACTTCGATATACCGACAGTCCACCCGCTTTCGAAAGCTCCGCTGTAATTCCATCCTCGCCCGGGGACTTGCCTTTTTAAGGTGCTGGAGAGCCATTCTAATCTTGCTCAGACTGACGTCCGGGATATCTTCGGAATAATGTCGGATAAGACTCGCTCCTGAATCGTTACTCACACTTGCGTGTGGCTCCAACGATGACGTGTACAGCTGCCCATAGAACCTCTCAATCTCACTCAATATCTCAGGTGCCCCGGAAACGATACTGCCACATTCTGTCTTCAGCCTTTACAGTTGGTTCTTTCTGGCAGACAGATCTGTCAAAGACTTTGGAGCCTTGGTTTCGCTCGATTGCTTCTTCAATACAAGCTGTATTGAAGTTGCGTAAGTCCCGCCGCATGCATTTGGAGATCTGTCTGTTTAGTTGCCTGTATGCTGTCAAATCTGTTGAAGAGTGTATCTTCATCTCCCGTCTAACAACCATGAGATTAAGAGTGATCGGAGAGTTTTTGTGTTCTTCTGCGGCGGGTCTTGCAGAACTTAGCTCCAACCGCATGGACAGTTTCCACGAGCTTGTTTTTCATATCTTCAACTTCATTGCAGTCTTCTAGGCACTGAAAACGGTTTTGTAACTCGACCTGAAAAGTTTCGGGACTTTAGAACAGAGCACGACGGGGACGGAGCGTTGACTTCATTAGACGAGACCTCTCCAACTTAATGTTTAGGTTCAGTGTGCCTCTAACCATTCGGTGATCGCTACCAGTTTTCACCCTCGCGATCACTGAGACATCACTAAACAGTTGTCGTGTGGTCGTCATAATAAAGTCGATCTCATTTTTTTTCGAACCATCGGGGCTCGACCAGGTCCACTACCTGTGGGGCCGCTTCTGGAGGAAAGAGTTCATCATAAAGAGTCCCTCTTTCTCCATGAAGTCGGCCAGCTGTTGGCCCCTTGGGTTCCGTTGCCCTATTCCAAATTTCCCTACTTTCAGCTCACCGTTCTCTCTTGTGCCTAGTTTTGCGTTGAAGTCTCCCATTATATCCGTATAGTGGGTTTTGGAGGAATTCATTGCTCTAGAGATATCCTCATACATTTCCTCCACCTCCTGATCGGGGTGTGCCGAGGTTGGTGCGTAAACTTGTATGACCTTCAGCGAATACCGTTTGGTGATTCTGAGTATAAGGTACGCAACCCTCGTCGATACACCCTCAATCTTTACAACGTTGTTAACGAGAGACTTGTGGACGATAAATCCGACACCTCCTTGGGACAGATGGTCGCCCTCCCGGTGATAGAACAAGTTGCCGGATTCAAGGATTACCGTGTCCTCCCCTCTCTTCGGACCTCGGATAATCCTATAATATGCCAGCGTAACTTGTCTATCTCTTCTTCCAGCTCCACGATCTTCTCGTCAGTCCTCAGGGTGCGTGCGTTGTATGTTGCCAGGTCGAGTCGTTTTATGTGGCAACCGAACCTCCACCGGAGATTTCTAGCACCCCCTGCCCCGCCATTACCATGGTCGCCACCGTAGCCAGGAATGTATCAGTATAATCGTATCAGGAAGATGCTGCTGCCCATCTCCTGCCTGGTTCCCTTTGTCGCCTTTTACGACACCCACGGGAAGATATGGGGCAGTGGATATTCTTAACCGCCACTACACGGCACTCTCAATGTTTTGGCAAAATTAGTAAAGTTTTTTTTACCGTGAGGCACGAAAGAAAGGCCTATCTATTTTTGGAAAAAATGCAGTAAGGTACTTTGAGTTAAACGCGTTGGCCTATTGGCATCAATCCACTAATAGAGGCATAAGTCTCTGATCGAGTCCTGGAAAAATAGTGCGGGATTGTTCCCTTTGGATACTGTACCATTTTAGAGGGAGCTTTTTCAGGCGCTGGCTTACTACTTACTATTAATTTTTTCAATTGTTTGGGATTTAAATATTCATTTTCGTAATAAATGCAATCTATCAAATAATTAATCGAATTACATGATTGAAAAGCAATCCTGTGTCTACATTCAACGAAATGGCAATTTTGATGTTCATTACAAATTCTCTTTAAAGTTTTATTTATTTCAGTTACATTTGTTAATAAATTTAATACAATTATGTCATTATTAGGAAAATATTCAAGAAACCGTCGTAGCTGTGATGATAGTATATTCATATCATAGTCGTTTTTTTTCTTTTGTGTTTCGGATTTACATTTATTCTATTTATTTAATCTTTTTTACATCTACCTTATAATAAGGGATATAAAGGGTGGATTTAATGCCTGGTAGCATTCTCTACCAGTCAACCCTAGATTATTTGAGAAGCTGTGGTAGGTGCAACACCATTTGAGTATTTTCTTTTTTCTACAGACAGTAGTCTTACTATCTATAGAAAAAAGACAATAATAACTAATGTTGTTATTAGGTTTAGAATGATTAAAATATCTAGGAAAGCTTATGAATTATTTGCCTTTAACTCCATTGCGAATAGAATTTTAGAGTTTATAGAGTAATGTGGTCTAAAAATTACAGCTTTACGTGTAAATTACTCTTTATTTTTGAACATAAAATACTTTTGCGATTTTTGGATGAAACTAATTTCAACAATGAAAATAGTTTCATCGTGTTTACTACGCATAACTAAAACTTATGTTGCGAGAGCGCTTGCTGAATAGACGCGTGTGTTTCTGTGTTGAGTAACTAATAAATATTTTTTATTATTTTTTTTATTTTTTTAACCTCCGACGAAAACAGAAGGATGTTATAAGTTTGTAGTGTGTATCTTTGTATCAGTGTGTCTGTATGGAGTGTGACCTTGTTTTGACCTTAACCATTCTACCATCTTTTCCCGGAAACACTTTTTTAATAATGCCCCGAGGCTATAAATTGCGGCGTCCGTCTGGATCAATAACTACGACAAGATCCCCCACTTTTAATGATATTTGTTCTGTTTGCCATTTTCGTCTCGGAATTATACCAGGAAGAACTTCCTGTACCGAACGCTTGCAAAACATATCAGCTAATCTCTGTGATATATTATTTACCATTGACGTCTGAGGTAAAAGTCTGAATCATCAAATGCTCATATCATAGGTAAGTTTGACGACATACTAAGCAGGAAATGGTTCATTATCAGCGTTTCCTCGCTACCAGGTTCCCCAGAGACATATGTCAAGGGTTGACTGTTTACCTATTCTCAATTTAGCTATCAATGTGTTGAAAGCTTCCTCCCTCGGTGCACGCTCTATAAGTCTTCTTCTTCTTCTTCAGGCCTTGTCCCATTTGTAATTGGGGTTGGCTCTCCTAATGCTTCTTCTCCAGAGATGCCGTTTCTGGGTCGTCAGTGAGTCTATACTATCTGTGGTGAGGTCTTTCTTTATAATTGACATCCATGTTAGTCGGGGTTTGCCGCGGCTTTTTGGTCCCGAGTCAAGCTGTAGCACTTTTTTTGTCATGTCATCATCAGGTTTTCTCATGACGTGGCCGTACCAACGAAGGCATGACTCCATGAGCTTGTGTTGTATTGGTCTTGGATTGGATTTTGAAGCTATTTGGGATGTATTGGTTTTGCACTTTGTCTAGCATTGTAACGCCTGCAGACCACTTGAGCACCCTCATATCCGCAACATGCATTTTATTAGCCTGCTGTTTCTTAACAGGCCAGCACTCTACGCCGTAGGTCATAACGGGTCTTACTGCCGTTTTATAAACTTTGCCCTTAACGCGAATTGGCACTCGTGTATCGCAAAGCACGCCTGTCAGAACTCTCCATTTTTGCCAACCCGTGTTTATATGGTGTGTGATATTGGCGTCTATACCGCTACCGAGGTATTTGAAGTGTTCTGCTGTTCTTAGGGTGGAGCCTTGGAGGTTTGTTGTACAGGTAGTTGCGGTTGAGTTGGAGAAGTGCTCGGTTTTCTTTCTACAGATCTTAAGGCCTGCGTTTTCCAATGATGACCTCCACTTTTCCAAGGTCGCTTGCAAGGTGAGCAGATTTTCATCAATGAGGACGACGTCATCTGCGTACGAAATGCTCCAGGGAGCAAGTTGCTGGATTTGAGCCGTCAGATAGTTCATCACGAGATTGAAAAGTAGCGGGCTGAGTGCCGATCCTTGATGGACTCCAACCTTTACCTGAAATTCTTGATTTTTTTCATCATTACGCTGATTCCTGCAGGACATCGTACCTTTGTAGATACGCCGTCGTAAATGTCCACTATCAGTTATACGTACCATTCCGGGATTAATTGGGTCCGCAGTGTTTGCCAAATCAGAGGTCTCGGAACGCGATCAATTGTCGACTTTCCCGGGACAAATCCACACTGGTTTTCCGGTCGGTTGTCGACTTTCCCGGGGCAAATCCACAACTGGTTTTCTGTGATTTTATGACATATCGTAATCTTTCATTAATCACTCGTTCCCAAATTTTAAAAGTGTGCGAGATCAGCTTTATTGTCCGTTAATTACCAAAGTACCTTATGTTGTAGTTACTTTTGAAAAATAGTACCAATGAGCTCTTCCTCCATGCGTTTGGTGTACCATTGTGAGGGATTTTATTAAATAGCACCTGTAGGAAGTACACGCCAGCTTCTCCAAGTCTCAGGTCCATTTTGCTGATGAACGGTCTGATCTCTGTGCGCATTATTTCATCCCAAGGGCCTTCAATTGGAGACAGTTCTGCTATGGGTTCAGAAGGATGTGTTTCATTTTGTAGCTTAGATTAGTACTCTACCCATCTTCTTTTAATGTCCTCGTTAGATGTTGAGAGGGAGTGGCGATCTTGAAAAGCTGTTTATTACTGGTCGCGTTCTCCAGCCCAGTATAGAAGTCCTCCCTAGTTACAGCTTTGGCCCGTACTACAGCCCTTTAATATCCTTTTTTGCGTCTGTTTTTTGTTGTCTTAAAACAGATTTTCTTTATTTGGATCTTTGCTGAATGCTGAAAATGTGAAATTTGTCCCACACGCCATTGATGTTTTTGACAGCAGCAGTTTCTTGTATGTATTTATTATTTATATATACAGAGATTTTCACCCTCTACGCATTCCAGCTTGAACAACCGAATTTCTCTATTCTAGCTTTTATTGGCCTTGGTGTTATGAAGTCGGCTACTAAGAGTCGGTGTTGGAATGTTAAGGGTTCTCCGGGTATAACTTTACAGTTTCTGAAAGTTTTCAGCAATCGTCGATCTGCCAGGATGTAATCCACTTGACTGCAAGTTCCGCCGCTCTGATAGGTTAGGTTAGGTTAAGTGCTCTTGATGTTTTGGGAAATAGGTGTTGATGATTGCCATGTAGAAAGTAGTTGCAAGATCGAGTATATCCTAACCCTGTGAATTTTTATTCTCAAAACCTCTATTCCCGTGGACTTCGCTGTGGGTAGTCGATGTTTCTCCCACATAGCCATTGAGATCAGCACCAATGTACTTTGATTCTGTCATAGAAATAGACTGCAGAAAATTCTGTAAGTCATCCCAGAAAGACTGTTTTACTTCTTGTGTTAGTCCGATTTGTGGTGCATATGCTAATATGATGTTCATGCATGTTTGATCGTCCATGGCAAATTTGACAGCTATGATGCGGTCGCTGACTCCATTAACTTCAATTATAAGTTTTAATCGACTACTATTCCTAACCCGTTTTGTTTAGCCTTTGTACATAAACTTGTAAGCGTTTCCAATATTTCGCGACTTAGACCCCTTCCATTTCATTTCCTGTATATAGCAGATGTTTACACGTCGTCTGAGCAAAATTTCGCTCAACTCTGAGCTGCGTCCTATCATGGAGCCCACATTCCAACTCGTGGATTTTTGGAGTGTGCGCTCCCATGACTTTTCCGTCGCTTCGGGGGCATGCCCTAACACTAACCCTAGCCACGCTCTATAAGTACCACCTTTAAAGTATCTTTTACACTTCAAATGAGGCACTCCCAGGCCCCACCCCATTGAGGACTGGCTGGAGGAATGAATGACCAAACAGTCGAATAATTCGCAGCCACGCTTTTCAAATCTCCTTGATCTAACTCCTGGATGGACTTCTTGAGTTCAAAATCAGCTCCTCTTAAGTTACGTGGTAGAGCCATGCTGCAGCTATATTAATAGTATAGATGTAGCACGAATGGGTCGGCACGACTGGGGAAGGACCACGCTCTCACAGAATACCAGCGTAAAATAGCAGCTTAATGCTGCTGTGTTTAGTATTGTGAGTGTAGAGAAACGGAGGTCTATTTTACTGAAAAGGAAACCTTCTATCTGAGTCCTCACGGCTGATAACGCATCTGCATTTTAAATCGCAAACGAAGATAGATGTAGCTGTCTATGGGACAGCAACCACTTACCATCAGGTGGACTGTGTGTTTATTATTTATTTAGCTCGAGTTACAAAAATGTTTTCAGAGCTTAGAAGACTGCAATGCAGTGGACGATATGAATGACAAGCTCGTGGAAATTGTCCATGCTGTCGGAGCTAAGTTCTGCAAGACCCGTCGCAGAAAACACAAAAATTCTCCGCTCACACTTTAAATCTCATGGCTGTTAGACGGTAAATGAAGCTGCAGTGTTCAGCAGCTTTGTCAGCATACAGCTGAACAGACAGATCTCCGAATTCATGCGGCAGGACTTACTCAACTTCAATACAGCTCGTATTGAAGTAACGATCGACAGCCTGTAATTAGTTATACTGGCTCTCTATATCCTTCAGACTGAAACACAGTGATAAACTACATAATACATAATAATACACTACACCACTGCCCCGCCCTTAAATTGGTACCCACTAAAGCCAAGTATGTGTATGTATGCCGTGACTTGGGCGGGAGGTTTTGGGCATAGTTGCCATGCATTGCACACATATTGGCAACCGCAGTTTCTTATTACTAAATTATCAGGAGGATGCTGCTGCCCCTTTTCCTGATTTAGTTTCTCTTTATTAACCTATAAGCCACGGAATCATACTATGTGATAGTGGATTATTTCACACCGCCTCTACATTACATTGTATTATATATTTTATATCATTATGTAAAACATACATATAAAGAAAGAACTTACACAATGTTCTTTAAATTTATTTAAAATGTTCTTTTTTTGTAATTTTATATTAGATTTCTCATATTTTTTGTATTATATTTTACGATTATCTTTAAACTCCTTTGAAAATCTTGAGCTGAGGTCGAAGCCCTCAATCCCTTCCTTTCCCTTACCTTTCCCGATCCGAAATGCGGCACCAAGCTGTTCATCACAAAGCTTGGTAGAAATATTATAAAGGCAAGTACATTCTAACTGGAGCAGCTAAAGGAAAGCTTATTTTGACTCCCGTCATTCTTATTATTTCATATATTTTATCATTTAAATTTGAAAAGCTACAATTCGTCTTCCAGTTAGAATTCACTTACACATTAATAAGAAGATTTTACCAAGAAACTAGTGGTATAAAAATTCGTCGAGACGGGTTTTCCGTTCTATTTTCAAAAGTATCCAACAACGCCTAAAATTTGCACGTTCTATCACAAAATAATTAATAGTAAAATTTGATTTACAGAACAATCTAACTTTAAATCCTTCCATTTACTGCCGGCGTGGGCAACTTCAAGTTACGTCCTTGTCAGCCAATTTTGTTGTTATTCTACTCTTCAGTTGTTATTTTACTCTTCTAAAGTTAAAGCTTTTCTTTATTAATTAGTGAGTAATAAACTGACGAATTCACAGTACTTTTTAACTATTCCAACCTCAATTAATAGTAATTATTATACCAAAACAAAATCACTTAATGAAAATTGAACATTCAGGAAAGGACTGTGTGAAAGCAGTGTGTGGCTTAAAAAAACCATAAACACCATATTAAAATGCTTCTTAAACGCAATAGTACCTTATAGAGGTTCTATAATAAATTGGAGAAAAAATTTATAAGATAAGGCTTTTTAATTTTAGGGACTGTTAGTTACACATTTTACGTATTCGTTTTTTAAATATAACCTATGAAAAAAATTAAAAAGGTTAAATATAAAGTTTAAATATTAGGCTTTTACATATGTAATAGCCGTTTTTTATAAAATAAGTTAACATAATTTTTTTCCATGTTTATTTATTTCTATTAATTAAAGTAATCACGCATGCAATCGATGTATCTTTGTCAACGCATTGGGAACGCAGTTTATTGATGCCGTTGAAGAAATCAGCTGGACGGGAGGCAACAAACTCTTCAAAGGCATTTTGTACTGCCTCTCGGGTGTTGAATTTTTTCCTATCAAAAAGTTATCCCATTTCTGGGAATAATTGAAGTCTGTAGGCGCAATATCTAGTGAGTACGGCGGATCACGGAGAGCTTCCAACCCCAAATTTTGTAACTTGGAGACCGTCTGTCGTGCAGTACGAGATCGCGCGTTGTCGTGCAGGAGAAGTAGGGAAGAGCGTTTTACCAAATCTGGTTGGAGACGTGCAAGCTTCTCCATCATTTTGTTCAGTTCTTCCCAGTACTTATCTGCAGCAATGCTCATCCCGTTTGGTAAGAAGCTATAATGAATCACACCGGTGCTAGACCACCAAACAGTGACCATCACTTTTCTAGGAATAAGTTTTCGTTTAGGGCATTGTTTAGGTGCTGAACCAGGATTCAACTAACTTGCTGAGCGCTTGTGATTGTCAAACAGAATCCATCTTTCGTCGCAGGTAACAGTGCGGTTCAAAATTCCTTCGTTTGTGTACCTGTTGAACAGTACAAGGCACGTCTCGACGCGTACTTCGCGCTGGCGATCATTGAGTTCGTGGGGCACTCATTTGTCAAGCTTTTTTACCTTGTCAATTTGTAATTTGTCAAAAGTAGACCAATATTGTTTTGATGCTTTTTTTTATTTGAAATGGCCACTACTGCAGAACGGCAAATTCATAGGTAAAAACCTATTAGTTATATCATAACCAATTAGAACACCTCTTGAAATTTCTTGAATTAATGTCGTAGTGTTACGATGTAGCAAAAATTATTGCAACTATAACACGGAAGAAGTAGCGGGCAATGATAATTGTATATATAATGTATAATTTCAGTCGTGGTGGCCATTTTTAAAGAAGACTAGCTATTATCGTAAAATACGATTATAGTGCGCGTGTGTGTGTATGCGCAAGCACAGGTGCATTCTCTATTCTCACACTCTCATGGTCCGATACTACAGCAATTCGACACAAAGGGAAGTAATAAGGCGGAGTACCAACGGCTTTACATGCTTTTCGGGGCACGCGGATGA